ATACAAAAAATTAGCTGGGTATGGTGGCGCATGCCTGTAGTCCCAGCTACTCGGGAGGCTGAGGCAGGAGAATTGCCTGAACCCAGGAGGCGGAGGGTGTGGTGAGCCGAGATCGCGCCATTGTACTCCAGCCTGGGTAACAAGAGCAAAACTCCATCTCAAAAAAAAAGAAACACACGCGAACCCGCACAACCACTTGGAAACAACAACCTGTTTCTGAGTGTTGACTGGAAACTCTGTCTCAAAAAAAAAGAAATACTAAACTTCCATAGAATCAACCCAAATGCCCATCAATGATAATCTGGACAAAGAAAATGTGGTACATATACACCATGGAATACTACGCAGCCCTAAAAAAAAGAGTTTGTGTCCTTCATAGGGACTTGGATGAATCTGGAAACCATCATTCTCAGCAAACTAACACCGGAACAGAAATCCAAACACCGTATGTTCTCACTCATAGGTGGGTGTTGAACAACGGGAACACATGGACTCAGGGAGAGGAGCATCACACACTGGGGGCAGTTGAGGAGGGGTAGGGAGAGACAGCGGGGGGTGGGGAGGGATAACATGGGGAGAAATTCCAGATATGGTATGCATCTAAAAATAAATTCATTAATTAAAAAAAAAAACAAAAGCGCTGGACATGGTAGTGCCTGTCTGTAATCTCAGCTACTCAGGAGGCTGAGGCAGGAGAATTACTTGAACCTGGGAGGTGGAGGTTGTAAGGAGCTGAGATCGTGCTACTGCACTCTAGCCTGGACAACAGAGCGAGAGTCTGTCAAAAAAAAAAGGCACTTATTTTTGAAATGGGGTCTTGTTACATAACCCAGGCAAGTCTTAGTGTTTTGACCAGAAGCAATTATCCAACTTTAATGTACCAATTAGCTATTATTACAGGTGTGAACCATGATGCCTGGTTCTCTCATAAAGGGATTTTTGTCAGGAATCAGTGACAGATTTTCTTGGTGTCAGAAGACAAGCAAATAGGGTACCCTTTACTTTCTTGTCTTATTAATGTCACTGTCCATAGGAATTTCTACTTTTTATTTTCTACTTCAAGTTTGTCTGTAATTTTAGATTCAGACATTTAGGGCAACAATATACTAGAATTTACATGTTGGGCCTGAATTAAATTAGATAATTAGTATGCAGGCAGGCAAAAAGTAATTATAAAATTTTAAACTGCTTCTGTTAGCCTGTATCTAAAGAATATAATTTATTCCCCAAATATTTGTTTTTTATATGAGACTCTTACCATATTCTGCTAAATGTGTGTGTGTGTGTGTGTGTGTGTGTATATATATATAATTTAGCAGTGTAAGGCTATTTTTTGCTTCTAAACTTGGATTATTTTTTGTGTAAAAATAGCATGTATTTAAAACTTAAAAATTGACACTAGTTTTTTTTTTTAAATGCTTACCTAGTAAAGTTTCTTATTAGCATCGCCAAAAAAAAAAAGGCTCAAAAAAAAAAAAAAAAAGCAGGGGGAAGGAACTATTGATACATGCCTTAACATAGAAAACAGTTACGTAAGTGAAAGAAGCCAGACCAAAAAACAGTGTGTACTCAATGATCACAGTTATATAAAAGCCTGCGAAATTAAAACTATAGTGACAGAAAGCAGATGACTGGGTGCCTGGGGGTAGAGGGATTACGGTGGGTCACAAGGAAGCTCTGGGGTGATGAGTACGTTCAGCGTTTTGTTTGTGGCAATGTTTTCATCGTAAGACACATGTCGGCCTGACGCAGTGGCTCACGCCTGTAATCCCAGCACTTTGGGAGGCCGAGGCGGGCGGATCACGAGGTCAAGAGATCGAGACCATCCTGGCCATGGTGAAACCCCGTCTCTACTAAAAATACAAAAATTAGCCGGGCGTGGTGGTACGCACCTGTGGTCCCAGCTACTCGGGAGGCTGAGGCGGAAGAATCGCTTGAACCCAGGCGGAGGTTGCAGCGAGCCGAGATTGCGCCAATGCACTCCAGCCTGGTGACAAAGTAAGATTCCGTCTCAAAAAAAAAAAAAAAAAAAGACATATGTCAACACTTACCAAATCATATATTTTCTATATGTGCAGTTTATTATGTGAATTATAACCCAATAAAGCTGTTGAAATCTTGTCACTGTTACAGAAGCACAGAAGCTAGAAGTCTTGCCTATGCTTCTGTAACCATGACAAGATTTCAGCAACTTTAAAACAGTATGTTAAAAACATGTATTAGGAAATCAAGTAATTTTCTTTTCTTTTTTCTGAGACGGAGTTTCCCTCTTGTTACCCAGGCTGGAGTGCAATGGCGCGATCTCGGCTCACCGCAACCTCCACCTCCTGGGTTCAGGCAATTCTCCTGCCTCAGCCTCCTGAGTAGCTGGGATTACAGGCACGTGCCACCACGCCCAGCTAATTTTTTGTATTTTTAGTAGAGACAGAGTTTCACCGTGTTGACCAGGATGGTCTCGATCTCTTGACCTCGTGATCCACCCGCCTCGGCCTCCCAAAGTGCTGGGATTACAGGCTTCAGCCACCGCGCCCGGCATAATTTTCTTCTGTGTAAGTTGTTCCCAATTACTTTTATATGTTTTTGTTTTACTACCACAGAAGCATGAGAACAGCATAGCATAGTGGCATTCCTTACCATTTTAAAGCATTTGTATTATATAAATGCTTTCCAATTAATATTATTTAGTTTATTCAAAACCATCGATGACCTACAAATGTAGTAGGGCATTTTCCAAAACATTTGTTGGGGGTGAGCAGGAAGAAACTTTCTGAAAAATATAGGAAAAACTCAAGGTGAATTGAGAAAGAACAGTACGATACTCATTAAAAGCCAGGAGTTGGCTGTTACAAACTGCTACCCTTGGTGAAGTGGCAAGGGGATGTGGTAGGCAGAATGCCCGAGGATATCTACGTCCTCACCCATGACACCTCTGACCGTGCCACCTTATATGGCAAAAAAAATCAGTGGGTGCAACTAAGAATCTTGACAGGGGAAGCTGCCCGTGGATTGTCCACGTGGATCCAGAACAGTCACAAAGGTCTTTCCAAAATGGAGGCAGGAGTGTCAGAGTCAGAGACTGAGCTATGATGATGGATGAGTGGTCAGAGAGACGTGACACTGCTGGCTTCAAAGATGGACGAAGGACTTTGGGAGGCCGAGGTGGGTGGATCGTGAGGTCAAGAGATCGAGACCATCCTGGTCAACAAAGCGAAACCCTGTCTCTACTAAAAATACAAAAATTAGCTGGGCACGGTGGCGCACCTGTAGTCCCAGCTACTCGGGAGGCTGAGGCAGAAGAATTGCTGGAACCCAGGAGGCGGAGGTTGCGGTGAGCTGAGATCGTGCCATTGCCCTCCAGCCTGGGTAACAACAGCAAAACTCTGTCTCAAAAAAAAAAAAAAAAAAAAAAAAAAAGATGGAGGAAGGAGCCGTGAGTCAAGATACAAAGGCAGCCTCTAGAAACTGAAAGAGGAGGGATGGGACTCTCACCAGGAGGCTCCAGAGGATGCAATCCTGTCCACACCTTGATTTTAGCCCCAGAAGGCCTATGTGGAACTTGTAACCTCCAGAACTGTAAGATGATGCGCATGTGTTGTTTCAAGCCACAAGGTGTGTAACCTGTTAGAACCATCACACCAGATCCACCGCTGTTCTGCTCGCCACTATCCAGTTCCACTCCCAACCCCTTCTCATGTCCCGGGCTGGAATGAATCCTGTCCTCTCTGGACTGCTAATAGAGAGGTATCTAAGTCTTTTATATCTGCTTCTTGTCTGTGCCTCACCTCTCCAACTAAAAACCTTTTTAAAACTATCATGTGCCAGGCACAGTGGCTGTTGCGTGTAATCACAGCACTTTGGGAGGCTGAGGTGGGCAGATCAGGAGGTCAGGAGTTTGAGATTAGCCTGGCCAACATGGTGAAACCCCATCTCTACTAAAAATACAAAAATTAGCCAGGTGTGGTGGCGTGCACCTGTAATCCCAGCTACTCGGGAGGCTGAGGCAGGAGAATCACTTGAACCCGGGAGGCAGAGGTTGCAGTGAGCCAAGACTGCACCACCGCCGGCCAGCCTGGGCAACAGAGTGAAACTGTCTCAAGAAAAAAAACAGAAACTATTACATGAGGTTCAAACTAATGGCGAACAAGTAAGTGTGACTAACATGACAGCAAACAGGCTGACAATGTCAAAACCAGAAGTCATCAGATGGACGGGACGGATGTAACTCAGCCACACAGAAGTTCTGGGACAAGTCCCTTGCCGGGGAGGCTTGGCTAGCAGCCAGCACAAACTGCTCTGTCGCAGCAACCAACCAAAGCGAGTTTTTGTTGAATGACAGCAGAATTTGACATGAGTACACTTCACAGACCCAAAACCCCGTCTGGAAACAATTATCCATAGACGCATTTGATGATTTCATAAAACGTTTCTGGTTTCTGTATAAGTACACTTTGATCAAAATGTGAATAATTAAATCTTTTGGGATAGGGATGAAGAAAAAAAATCTTCTTACTCATTTTTTCTCATTTGATAAAATCACTTACAGGATACCAGTTTGGGCAACAGAAATAGACCCTGTCTCTACAAAAAAATATATTTTTTTTTTTCGAGACGGAGTTTCGCTGTTGCTACCCAGACTGCAATGCAATGGCATGATCTCGGCTCACTGAAACCTCCGCCTCCTGGGTTCAAGCAATTCTCCTGCCTCAGCCTCCCGAGTAGCCGGGACTACAGGCGCGCACCACCATGCCCAGCTAATTTTTGTATTTTTAGTAGAGACGAGCTTTCACCATGTTGACCAGGATGGTCTCGATCTCTTGACCTCGCGATCCACCCGCCTCGGCCTCCCAAAGTGCTGGGATTGTAGGTGTGAGTGACCGCACCTGGCCTAGGCTACTCATTTCTAAAAAAAGAAAATCGTAAAAATGTGAGGAACTGGGATGATTTGGAACCTGAGATTACACAAGCATTTCAAGTAAAGGGGGAAAAAAAATCAACAAATGTTCAGCTAGAAATAAGTTATTTTATTTTAGAACACATACAGATTAATAAATATTACTGGAAAACTTAATAGCCTTTTTATTTACATAAGGCAATAACAACATGCTCTGGCTACAACTATAAAGCAAAATATAAGCAAGTCTTAGCCACTGACAAACGTGTGCCTGTATGCTGATTGGAAACTCCCCAGCACATTTACAGGACAAGACTTTTAAACAACCAATCAACATTGGACATTTTCATCATCTTCCTCTCCTTCATGATTATATTCAATTTTTCAAGAAAATAATAGTTATCCTTTGAAAAGGCAAAACACGCAAGCTACTGAAAAACGTTATCTAAATTACTGTAAAGTGCAAAAATACTAAGGTGGGGGGCAATTATTATATTCTGACAAATAAATATTCTGAACTTTTCAACATGACCCTTTGGCACTAGTGGTTTGGGAGTCCTGACATTCGCCTGGGGTCAGTTCATCATCAGGGTTGAGCTGCTTGGAAGCAGGAAGTTCAGTATCATTTATTACAAATGCAGTGCACAGACTCTCCTTGTTTCACAGGCCATTAAATGTTTTCAGAACACAGACCTCGGCCGAATGTCAGAGGGGCCCATCACATCATCGGAAGGTGGTCTTTCAGTGAGACTTTTTCAAGTCCCTGTTTAATTTCCATATTTTACAATGGAACATATAAAACCCTTTCTTTTAAAACAAAAAAAGGAAACTTAAAGCTTCATGGAATCATGCAAACTTTACACCCAGTGCTTCCTTTGCCTCTCAGCACGCGGTCCTCAGCAGGTTTCACGGTCGCGCAAGCGGAGTTTCCACCGTTCGGCACTTCTGAACACCGCGCCCTCCTCTCAGGCCACCAGAAAACCACTGAAACTGCTGGAGTTTTAGAAACAATTTGGAGGGCCATCCCACCCCTTTAGAGGTAGAAAAACTGAGGCACAGAAAGGTTAAGAGACTCACCTATGTTTGCACAATTCAGGGAAAAACAGAGAAAAGAAGAAAAGCATCCTCCTTCCTGGCTCATGCTCTGGGCCCTAGACTCTGCTTCTTAAACGCTTTGGGTACATGTGAAATAGACATTTATTTACATGATCCTTGTTCTACGGAATATCAACTTTTTACTACACAATAGATTTTGATGTAACAAAGTTACATTTTCTTAAAATACAATTATTTTGTTGCATGTGAGGAATGTGCATGAAAATAAATGAGTGGGGGTAATGGGCCAAATTCTCATCGCCATTCCTGTAATGCTGAACCTTTTCAAGTATACAATGGAGGTGTAAGAATCTGGCCAGATGAGATACATCACCTACAAGCTAAAGGACAGACCCTTAAAATTCATCACCAGTACAACTGTGAGGTGGAAATGAGGAATACAAAAAATTGAGGTATTTTATGTGATAAACTGCCTTGTGGTGTGACTGGTGTACAAACTGGTCTTTTCTTTCCAACTCCCATTAACAGAATCTACCTACGAATGTGAGTAAAACCTACAAAAAATGAACATGGACATGTCCTTGGGAGGAAGGTTGAAGTTAAGGAGTCAATAACATTTTTGGTCCCTGAGAAGACGAAAACACCAAGACTCCATCCAATCCCCCCCGACGGGTAAACAACACCCTCGGTGTCGACACCGTGAAAAGCACAACTTGAGAACACAGGAGCTAATCCATGCAGTCATGAACAGACCTTAAACTGAAATGTTCTCTTTCTAGTTTCCTGCTTGGTGGCAGGAAGCCTAAGTCAGCATCGCGCAGGTATCAGCGCAGAGGGAGGGGCTCTGGGAACGGCGGGAGCACTCTCTGCCCTCTTCTGGGTGAGTTTAGCAGCTTGAAAAAGAAGACTCTCCAGAGCAGACGGAAGGGCAGGAGCCTGTGGCCATCACACCTGTTTCCACAGACCAGGTGTCACACCTGGGAGACACTGCCTCTCCAAAGTCTAGAACTGGCCTGTAGAAGCTGAACACATTTACAAAGAGCTGAGCCATCTAGGGAGAAGGAAAGACGACTGCACAGGTGAAGAGTACTCACTTCTCAGAAACAGACAAAGAAGAACAAACGCCAACATATTACCACTGGGATCAACTTCCGGAAAGACACCTGAGTGCAGCAAATCGGCCTGGAGAGCAGGAACTGAAAGAACGTTCCTTATCGCTGAACAAACAGCTGCGAAGTCTATTTCACTAACATTCCAATAGGAAAAGACCGTGATGAGAGCTGAGCAGGGCCCCCAGAACACCAGATTCCTCCCCCAAAGTCCCCAGCATGGGCAGGGCCTCGCTCCAGGCAGCAGGGGAAGGGGCTGCCCTCCCCAGCACCTTCTCCACAGACATGGCAAGGTCCTGCCAACCAGGAAGATGCTCGGGGGCCTTCATGGTGAGGGGTTAGGATTAGAATCCTTAATTGGCCCTAGCTTTGATCAACCAGCAGAATGGGAAACAATCTTTAAAATGCAAATATCCAGAGGAGAAAACAAGGCATTGCCCAAGAGGAAGAGAGAAATGGCCTATTTCAGTATCTATCCAGGAAATCTGCATATTGTGATCAAAACCTTTGATTTTACAGGATGCCTGAAAACAAGTATACAGTAAGCATCTTTTTTTCAAAGAATACTATGATAATTTGAAAATATTTCAAGTGCATCTACTTTTGGAAAGGCCACTAAAATCCATCCATGTTTTAGGCCTTCCCCTAAAGTTCTCACTTTGGGGCTTTTTTTCTGTTTCCAAATGAATGGTGGAAACATAGATTTTTAAAATAAATACTATTAAATCAGAAGTTATATGCTCTATATGATATCTGAGGCCGGGCGCGGTGGCTCACGCCTGTTATCCCAGCACTTTGGGAGGCCAAGGCGGGTGGATCACGAGGTCAAGAGATGGAAACCATCCTGGTCAACATGGTGAAACCCCATCTCTACTAAAAATACAAAAAATGAGCTGGGCATGATGGCGCGTGCCTGTAATCCAGCTACTCAGAAAACTGAGGCAGGAGAATTGCCTGAACCCAGGAGGCGGAGGTGGGGTTAGCCAAGATTGCACCATTGCACTCCAGCCTGGGTAACAAGAGTGAAACTCCGTCTCAAAAAAAAAAAAGAAAAGAAATTTGAAAATTAGACTGTTCAACCACTGGTCACGTCATTTACTTTGAGCCTAGCGTCATGTGCTTGAGAAACGATGGATAACATGAACTTTGTTTCCCTGGAAGAAGAGCTGAGTACCCTATTGAAGTATCTGCCAAACGGAGGTAACCCTGGAAGATGCCAACTGTCCCAGGAGCAGTCACTTTCAAGAGGAGAAAAGCTATTAATACTTTGAGATTTTATTTTACTCTAAAAAAATCATAGAAAAGAACAGGAAAATACCACCTCTCAGTATCAATGGTATACTTGTGGATGAAAATATAATAAAGGACACCAAGAGCTGTATTTAAATTAAATTTCATATGAAAGCTGTAGCAAAACAAACGTGATAATGTTCATGTGACACATGAACTTTCTCATGACATCTGTTAGCCACATGTATTGGCTGACCATCTCACACTCCTTACCTAGGAAACCATTTTTATGCCTAAAAGTACACTGATACTGATACACTACGTTTTCAGAAAGTTCAGTTCCATAAGTTAAGGCCTGCATTCCCAAAAGCACTGCTGATACAAGGGGTAGTGGACTTTGAACATTGGTTAACCATCCATTAATAGAGGATTTAAAATTTCTTAAAATAATTTTGTTGCTGCTCTTAGTTCACAAATCACTGACAACACTTGATCATCACGTACACGTTAAATTTAAAGTTACTTTTCTCTCTGTATTAAACTCTTCTCATTTTATTTCACCTCTTTACTCAACACTTTAGGAAGCCATTTGTTGAGACTTTACTTTAGAAATGTTCTTTTTGGGCCGGGCGTGGTGGCTCAAGCCTGTAATCCCAGCACTTTGGGAGGCCGAGGTGGGTGGATCACGAGGTCAAGAGATCGAGACCATCCTGGTCAACATGGTGAAACCCCGTCTCTACTAAAAATACAAAAAATTAGCTGGGCGTGGTGGCACGTGCCTGTAATCCCAGCTACTCAGGAGGCTGAGGCAGGAGATTTGCCTGAACCCAGGAGGCGGAGATTGTGGTGAGCCGAGATCACGCCATTGCACTCCAGCCTGCCTGGGTAACAAGAGTGAAACTCCGTCTCAAAAAAAAAAAAAAAAAAAAAAAAGTTATTTTTGCCTATAAAAACATGTTTTTTTCTAACTGAAGAACTTTAATCACGTATTATTAAATTTTATGTTCTACATCACCTAATTTCCTTTGCCCAACCCCATCTTTCAACTTGGCAGAGTTGTTCCCTGTGGTGAAATATTTGCCTCACTTCATGCTTTGCTCCATTTGGAACACGTGGACGGTCACTACAGACAGAAGAATGACCTCTTTGATTCAAACACTGGCATAATTAATGGCTCTTTTGCATTTAGGACATATAAGGAGAGGTTAGGTGAGGAACTCCAGGATGCTCTGCCATTGCAAACAACAAGGAGATGGCTATATTCATTGTTTTTTTGCTAGAAATTCTTTCTAAAACTGTGAGTTACAATTTTTGGAAGCGAACCTAACCTCAACTGTGTCCTTTATCTTATTCCTGTATGACAGTAGCTCCATCTGTGAGCTACTGGATAGCTACTCTCCCATTTAGCTTTATCATCAAGTTACAGAATTTATTTCTTCCGAATGGCCATAAATGCTTGCTGATAAAGAATGTGGATATATTTGATACTGAATCCCAGGTACAGAGATTGAATACAAATAAAATAATATGTCATGCTCCTTAAATCAGCTGTCTTTAATTGAACCAAGTTAAATGGGTCAGTTTGCTCTAATGTGTCTTTAGTCTTGACTATCTCCAGTGAATATACAGTCGTGCACCATGTAAACACGCTTCTCTCAAAGACACACCACCTACATGACAGTGATCCTGTAGGACTGTAATGCCACAGTTTTACTGCACCCTTCCTATGTTTGGAAACACAAACACTCACCACTATGTTACAGTTGCCCACAGTATTCAGTACAGTCACATGCTGCACAGGTGTGACGCCAGGAGCAGCAGGCTGTACCATCCACCCCAGGTGGGTAACAGGTGTCCCATCTAGGTTGGTGTAAGTGCACCCCCCCGATGTTCACACAATACAGTCCGCTTACAATGCATTTCTCAGAATGTTTTGCTGTCACTAAGTGACACGTGACTGCATTATTTCTAACTGCCTTGTACATTTGTAACTTGAATACTAAAATATTAAAGCATACGCAAGGAAGTTGCATTATTCTAACCTAAGAACATATACACAGTAATAGTTAATAATTCAAGTGATAAAGGCACTGAAATTGATTTGACCTATTGAAAAGCCATCCTGCCGGTGGAACACTCCATCACGTTCATTAACTCTTCTCTGCTGTTTAAATGTCTTGGGTGGGGGTCAGGGCCGAAAAGTCAACTTGTCAGAGGGTTAAAAACAATTTAATGTGTATGCCTCCTTATTTGGATGACATACTTGAATGTTATACATGCTTAATGCAAACTAACACAACCACAGACACATTCACTGTAAACCAGAGTTCAAGACAACAATCTCTCATTTCCAAAGTAACCTAAGTAAAAATATCTCTGCTATCCTGTAACAACTAACCAGAAAGAGCCCATCTTTTTCTGTTTAATGTTAAAATGTTTTAAAAGAAGAGAATATTCATGAAAGCTTCCTGGTTAATGGAAATGAAAACGAGATTTGTCTCATATGAGAGACATGGTGCCAGGCAACCATTAGGCACCTTTGGGCTGCAGAGGGCTGGCTGGGCCTCTGCTCTGGTGCTAAGCCCCACTCCCCCCAGTCCACCAGACCACCTGCTACCATCCAGTCAACTCAAACACCAAGATCGAGGACCTCTTCTACTTCACATCCAATCAAGACTACCTCCAATGCCTGTTCCTCGAACCATCCGAGCCCCTACTGCAATCTAGTCTGTTTTCATATTAGATTTGTTCATCTCCCCAAGGTTGAAATTGAACTCTTTGAACACCTGTATCAGGACAATCCCCACGGAGACGGTCGTGAATCCACAGGCCATCCCCAAGAAGTCCACCAGGCCCACGTTGCTCCACTCCCGGAAGAGGATGGCTGAGGCCAGCAGGACCAGCGTGGTGAACACGACGTAGTAGATGGCCCCGAACACCGAGGAGTCGAAGCACTCCAGCGCCTTGTTGATGTACCTGAACTGGACGATGATGCTGCAGCCGAGCACGGCCAGGAGCACCAGGCACAGGCAGAGGGCTCTCTGGCTGGACGGGTTGTTGTGCAAGATGTCTTGGGCCGCCAGCCCAATGCCCTTGGTGGAAGGCACGGTGAAACTGCCCAGCAAAGAGCAGATGCTGATGTAGACCATGATGTTGGTGGGCCCGTGGGCCGGCGCGATCCAGAAGATGAGCAGCAGCAGCATGAGCAGCACGATGCACAGGTAGCCCACAAACACTGGAACACAGACGGCACGCGGTCACCCGGCAGTCGGCCTCACGGCACACGCCGCCCAGCAGCCGGGGGAGGGGGGGTGACTGGGGCAGCACCCGTGTCGCCACCCGCCGCCACTGTGGCACAGCCCTGGGGGGCAAGCATGTTTTGGCTTGAATTTACTAGATCCGCCGATTACCTTCCACAAAATAATTCCCCTCATTTTCACTGTTAAAACATTTACAGGCCCACACCTGTAATCCCAGCACTTTTGGAGGCCGAGGCGGGTGGATCACGAGGTCAAGAGATGGAGACCATCCTGGTCAATGAGGTGAAACCCCGTCTCTACTAAAAATACAAAAATTAGCTGGGCATGGTGGTGCGCGCCTGTAGTCCCAGCCACTCGGGAGGCTGAGGCAGGAGAATCCCTTGAACCCAGAAAGCGGAGGTTGTAGTGAGCCAAGATCATGTCATTGAACTCCAGTCTGGGTAACAACAGCAAAACTCCGTCTCAAAAAAAAAAAAAAATTTACAGCTCCTGGCCAGCTGCAGTAGCCCACACCTGTAATCCCAGCAGGTTGGGAAGTCGAGACAGGAGGATCATGAGGTCAAGAGATCGAGACCATCCTGGTCAACATGGTGAAACCCTATCTCTACTAAAATAGAAAAATTATCTGGGCGTGGTGGCACGTGCCTGTAATCCCAGCTAATCAGGAGGCTGAAACAGAAGAATTGCTTGAACCCAGGAGGCGGAGGCTGCAGTGAGCCAAGATCGCACCACTGCACTCCAACCTGGGTGACACTGTGAGACTCAGTCTTAAAAGAAAAAAAAACAAAGCTTACAGCTCCTAAATGTTTACATGGTCCTCTATCAGAACCATTCTCTTTGTTTTTTAGTTTTTTTCGTTATTTTATGAAATGGAGTTTCACTCTTGTTGCCCAGACTGGAGTGCAGTGGTGTAATCTCTGCTCACTGCAACCTCTGCCTCCCAGGTTCAATAGATTCTCCTGCCTCAGCCTCCTGAGTGGCTGGGATTACAGGTGTCTACCATGATGCCCAGCTAATTTCTGTATTTCTAGTAGGGATGGGATTTCGCCATGTTGGCCAAGCTGGTCTCGAACTCCTGACCTCAGCTGAGCTGTCCTCCTCAGCCTCCCAAAGTGCTGGGATTATAAGCATGAGCCGCTGCACCCAGCCTAGAACCATTCTCTTAACAATACAAGTCAATGGAGATGTGCCAAGGTTTCAAAATAGCACCTGGGAATCCAGGGGGCAGGGGTAAGGCAGGGGCCAGGAGGGAGGACGTTAAGCTGTGAGGGGTGTTTGTGGGTGTTGCAGTGATTGGCGGCTGCATCCAATGGGCAGGGGCATGTGCAGACAGCTCCCCTCCCACCATCAAAAATCATCCCATTCTCCTCACAACTCCTGACTGTCTCCTTGGACTTGCAAGTAAAAATATGTTTATGATAATCAGAGCCTAGAACCTATTTTATGCATGAAACAAAGTAATTTTTGCATGGATGTAATATATGCTGAATTTTTCAGAAGCGCCACTTCCATGTAAATTGAGGGAGGCCTGTTCTTTCTTTGAACAAAACTTCAACGTTTATGCTCCATATGAGGATCATTCTGTTGACAGCAAGACCTCAAGTATCTGAGTCCATAACAGGACACCCATGTCGGTCTGTATCTGCAGCTACCAGACCCTCAGTCACTCCTCACGAGGTGTGGGGTCTGCCAGCTTCAATATGTCTTCTCTTTATAGTTGGACCTGAGCATTTATATACTGAATTCCATGTTTCATTTTGAAGTCTTGTCTTGGTATTTCTCCTTTATCTCACGCTTAGGGCATGACACTGAGGGTTTGAAATTACGTGTGTAAACAGGTTGTGTTTTCTATGATCACAAATGGACCTGAGAGGGCTGGAACTGCTGGCTACGAAAATCAGCAAGGGTGGACATGCAAACTGGGTTGTGGACATGCAAACCAGCGAGTGTGGACCTGCAAACCAGCGAGCTGATGTGGACCTGCAAACCAGCGAGTGTGGACCTGCAAACCAGCGAGGTGATGTGGAGGTAGTGCTGTGCTGGCACCTGCCTACTTGGTCAGCAACAAAGGGTGGTCTACTTTAAGTGAAATCTATACTTTAAGTCTGTTGTAATCATGTAGACAGCAGTTTTTAATGCATTTATCAAAAAAGAAAAAGAAATTACATCAAAAAATATATACACAGAGCTGTATGAAGAATCTAAACATAAGAGATACCAGGTCTATGTTATCACAGAGCTTCATGCTGGAGGGAGCGAAGTACCGCGGTGGAGGGAAGGGCAGACAGGGCAGGGCACACCAGGAAAGGTATGTGGGGAGGGGCAGGTGGCAGTCAAACTTGGGAGGGTGGCCTGAGGGGAGCCACTGTGGGAAGAGCGCCCATGCACAAGGTCCCAGAAGAGAACCCAGAGGAATGCCAGGCCACGGAGACTCCCTGCAGGGTGTGAGGATCAGGAGGGAGAGTGAGGGCAGAGGGCTAGCCTGCAAGCACAGCCACCCGACACATGTGCCCAGAGAACACAGATCTACAGTAACAGATCAGGGTGGACACATGTTTCATCTGCCCCGCCAGGAAGCGTCAGATGGGAAGATGTGGTTAAAAAAGTTGTGACTCCTGGTGCAAACCTTCTTGGCAGCACTGTTAGAAAGGAATTACCTGGGTTGGTCAGCTTCTCTTCTAGCTCAGCCTGAGTCGTCACACTCTCAGACTTTGGGGAGTGGATGATCAGCACGACAGAGCCTGCACAGCTTAGCAGGCACCCCAACTTGCCCAAGATGTTGAGCTTTTCCTTCAGGAGATAGGAAGCTAAAATGGACCTTTAGTGAAGAAAGAGAAATCATTAAAATTTAAACCAAACTACCTGACCTTTCTTCTAACTGCAGATATTTTTATCTAGAAAAGCCATTTTCTTTTTCTTCTTTTTCTCCTTTTAAGAGACCAGATCTCACTCCTTTGCCAAGATTGAAGTGCAATGGCACAATCGTAGCTCACCACAAGCTTAAATTCCTGGGATCAAGTGGTCCTCCTGCCTCAGGCTCTGAAGTAGCTGAGACTACAGATGCATGCCACCACACTCAGCTAATTTTTCAAAAATTTTGCGTAGAGGCTGGGCGCGATGGCTCACACCTATAATCCCACCACTTTGGGAGGCCAAAGCTGGTGGATCACCTGAGGTCAGGAGTTCGAGACCAGCCTGACCAATATGGTAAAACCCCGTCTCAATCAATCAATCAATCAATTAATAAATTTGTGTAGAGACCAGGTCTCACTAGGTTGCCCAGGCAAGTCTCAAACTCTTGGGCTCAAACGATCCTACTGCCTTGGCCTCTCGAAGTGCTCGAATTATAGACATGAGTCACCATGCCTGGACAGGACAGGACAATTCCATATATAATCATTACATAGTTAGTGATAGGCGTAACTTACACCACTATATTACTATCTCAGCACATAAAATATAACACAGTATAAAAAGTTTTGTGACTGACCAAAAGTAAAAAGTAATGCTTCCTCTGCATGTAGGCTAGCATTAAAAAAAAAAAAAAAAAAGAGGGCCGGGCACAGTAACTCACGCCTGTAATCCCAGCACTTTGGGAGGCCAAGGCAGGTGGATCACGAGGTCAAGAGATCGAGACCATCCTGGTCAACATGGTGAAAGCCCGTCTCTACTAAAAATACAAAAATTAGCTGGGCATGGTGGCGCGTGCCTGTAATCCCAGCTACTCGGGAGGCTGAGGCAGGAGAATTGCCTGAACCCAGGAGGCGGAGGTTGCGGTGAGCCGAGATCACGCCATTGCACTCCAGCCTGGGTGACAAGAGCGAAACTCCATCTTGAGAAAAAAAAAACAACAAAAAACACACTTAAAAATAAATTAAGTGAAAAATGCCCAAACAAAAGAAAAAATAAAAATCCTAATAGTAATTGCAGTAGAGTAGAAGTATGGGTGGTTATTTTCTCTAATACTGAAAACTTCTAAAAGGTGGTCACATAATTAATGCAAAAAAAATGTATTCTTCAAAAACATCTATAATCTTCAGGCTTGTGATGTGTTTCTTCTGTCTCTGTGTAATTATCTTTTTTTTTTGAGATGAAGTTTCACTCTTGTTACCCAGGCTGGAGTGCAATGGTGCAATCTCGGCTCACCGCAACCTCCACCTCCTGGGTTCAGGCAATTCTCCTGCCTCAGCCTCCCGAGTAGCTGGGATTACAGGCACACGCCACCATACCCAGCTAATTTTTTGTATTTTTAGTAGAGACGGGGTTTCACCATGTTGACCAGGATGGTCTCGATCTCTCGACCTCGTGATCCACCCGCCTCAGCCTCCCAAAGTGCTGGGATTACAGGCTTGAGCCACCGCGCCCGGCCTCTCTGTGTAATTATCAGTAGACAATCTGAATTGGAACACCTGGCCCTCACTAAGTCATGGGACTGGTCCTTCTCACTTTACTCATGTGTGTGCTGAAGATGATCAGAAAACAGGAGCATCTGGAGGAGGGCACACCAGGCTCAGGTACATACTGCATTTCTTCCTTTAATCCCTATTTTATTTATTTATTATTATTATTATTATTTTTTGAGACAGAGTTTCACTTTTGTTCCCCAGGCTGGAGTGCAATGGCGCGATCTCGGCTCACCGCAACCTCTGCCTTCTGGGTTCAAGCAATTCTCCTGCCTCAGCCCCCTGAGTAGCTGGGATTACAGGCACGCGCCACCATGCCCAGCTAATTTTTGTATTTTTAGTAGAGACGGGATTTCACCATGTTGACCAGGATGGTCTCGATCTCTTGACCTCGTGATCCACCCGCCTCGGCCTCCCAAAGCGCTGGGATTACAGGTGTGAGCCACCGCGCCTGGCCATTCCTATTTTAAAGATAAGGAAACTTGAGCCCCAGCAAGGGTTGGCATTGAACCTAAGGCCACAAAGCTAACAAGAGACAGAAGTATGGTCATGACACCCAACACATCCTAAACGCCTTCTTTTCCCTTGTACCACACTTCTTGTCTCTAGACAGCTCTGTTCTTTTTTTTTTTTTTGACACCGAGTCTCACATTATAGCCTGGACTAGAGTGCAGTGGCGCAATCTTGGCTCATGGCAACCTCCGCCTCCCAGGTTCAAGCAATTCTTCTGCCTCTGCCTTCCAAGTCAGTGGGATTACAGGCACCCACCACCACGTCCGGCTTTTTTTTTTTTTTTTTTTTTTGAGATGGAGTTTCACTCTTGTTACCAAGGCTGGAGGGCAATGGTGCGATCTCGGCTCACCACAACCTCCGCCTCCTGGGTTCAGGCAATTCTCCTGCCTCAGCCTCCTGGGATTACAGGCATGTGCCTCCATGCCCAGCTAATTTTTTGTATTTTGAGTACAGACGGGGTTTCACCATGTTGACCAGGATGGTCTCGATCTCTTGACCTCGTGATCCACCCGCCTCAGCCTCCCAAAGTGCTGGGATTACAGGCGTGAGCCACTGCGCCCGGCCCTATTTTTTTTTTAGATGGGGTTTCACTATGTTGGCCAGGCTGGTCTCAAACTCCTGACCTTGTGGTCTACCCACCTCAGCCTCCCAAAGGGCTGGGATTACAGGCATCAGCCACTGTGTCTGGCCGACAGCCCTGTTCTTAAGAAGCTCCCGACAGTGCTGTTGGGGCAATAAGCAACATCGCTGGAAGAACCAACAAGCGATACATGAATACATGACTACGTGTTAAATGTTCATTGAGTAGCTGCCCAGAAACACAGGGGGATCACAGGGCAACAAGTGAGCCTGGAACTGGTCTGGGACAACGGGTGGACTGTGCGAAGCTGGGAAAGGGCTGCCGTGCACGAAAGTGGAGAGTCTGAACCACGGGACCAAACCATCTCTTATTCCATTGTGGAATACCAGAACACAGTGCCATTTTCATTCATTCATTTATTGAGATGAAGTCTCACTCAGTCACCCAAGCTGGTGTGCAGTGGCGCAATCTCAACTCACTTTAATCTCTACCTCCCGGGTTGAAGCAATTCTCCTGCTTCAGCTTCCCAAGTAGCTGCGATTACAGGCACCTGCCACCATGCCTGGCTGATTTTTGTATTTTTAGTAGAGATGGGGTTTCACCATGTTGGCTAGGCTGGTCTTGAACTCCTGACCTCAAGTGATTCACCCGCCTCAGCCCCCCAAAGTGCTGAGATTATTGGCGTGAGCCACTGCGCCTGGCTGACAGTGCCATTTTTTTTTTTTTTTTTTTGTATTTAGTAGAGATAGGGTTTCACCATGTTGGCTAGGCTGGTCTCAAACTCCTGACCTCGTGATCCTCCAACCTCCCAACGTGCTGGGACTACAGGCGTGAGCCACTGCACCCAGCAAGAGTTTTTATATATTCTAACTCCAAATCCCTTATCAGATATATAATTTGAAATTTTCCTCCCACTCCATGAGTTTTCAGTTCATTGATGGCATCCTTTTAAGCACAAAGGTTTTAATTTTTATGATACCCAGTTTATATATTCTTCTTCTGTTGCTTCTGCTTTTGTGCTTTAAGTGTTATACTGGAAAATCATCACCTAATCCAAGGTCCTCAAGACTTATATCTATGTTTACTTCTAAGAGTTTTAAAACTTTAGCTCTTACATCTAGGCCTTTGATTCATCGAGTTAACATTTGTATACAGTGTGAGGCAGGAGCACGACTTCATTCACCTGCATGTGGAGATCCAGCTGGCTCAGCATCATGTCTTGAAAAGACTATTCTTTCCCCCACTCAATTGTCTTGGTACCCCTGGCAAAAATCAATTGACTGTAAACGTGAGTGTCTGTTTCTAGAATCTCAGTTACAGTCTATTCATTTACATGTTTGTCCTCTGGCCTCCCATGTCCAAGAGATTCTCCTGCCTCAACCTCCCAAGTAGCTGGGATTACAGGCACCTGCCACCATGCCCGGCTAATTTCTGTATTTTCAGTAGAGATGGGGTTTCGCCATGCAGGCCAGGCTGGTCTTTCCCAGCTTCGCACAGTCCACCCGTTGTCCCAGACCAGTTCCAGGCCCACTTGTTGCCCTGTGATCCCCCTGTGTTTCTGGGCAGCTACTCAATGAACATTTAACACGTAGTCATGTATTCATGTATCGCTTGTTGGTTCTTCCAGCGATGTTGCTTATTGCCCCAACAGCACTGTCGGGAGCTTCTTAAGAACAGGGCTGTCGGCCAGACACAGTGGCTGATGCCTGTAATCCCAGCCCTTTGGGAGGCTGAGGTGGGTAGACCACAAGGTCAGGAGTTTGAGACCAGCCTGGCCAACATAGTGAAATCCCATATAAAAAAAAAAATAGGGCCGGGCGCAGTGGCTCACGCCTGTAATCCCAGCACTTTGGGAGGCCGAGGCGGGTGGATCACGAGGTCAAGAGATCGAGACCATCCTGGTCAACATGGTGAAACCCGTCTCTACTCAAAATACAAAAAATTAGCTGAGCATGGTGGCACATGCCTGTAATCCCAGGAAGCTGAGGCAGGAGAACTGCCTGAACCCAGGAGGCAATAACTCCTCACCTCAAATGATCCATGCATCTTGGTCTCTCAAAGTGCTGGAATTACAGGCGTGAGCCACCCATGCAGCTTTTTTATTTTAAGCGAGAAATAAATTTCTCACTCTGTCTTCCAGGCTGGAGTGCTGTGGCACCATCTCGACTCACTACAACCTCCGCCCCCCAGGTTCAAGCAATCTTGTGCCTCAGCCTCCCAAGCAACTGGGACTACAGGTGGTCGCCATGATGCCTGGCTGATTTTTTGTATTTTTAGTTGGGCAGGCAGTCTTAAACTCCTGATCTAAAGTAATTTGCCCACCTTGGCCTCCCAAAGTGCTGGGATTATAGACGTGAGCCACCGTCCCTGGCCTGAAGATCTATCTTCTGTTATAATTTTGCTTTTATTACTTTAACAGAAACATTTAAAATGAAAAGTTCTCATATCTAAATTACACATTAAATACCAAATAAAATCTTGGCTCTCACCCGAACGGCACTCCAAGGGCGCCCAGGGGAGTTACGAGGACCGTGGGGACCGCCGTGTAAGCCAGGAAGTTTCCAATCTGGCCAACTGCCACTGTCAAGAAAATCACAAGGGTACTGCTTGCAGTTACAGAGCTCTCTCTCAGCACTGATCAGAGTTGAGTCTTGCAAGGCTTGGCTCTGAAAGGGCTACTTCATCCCATTACTTGAGAAGAATCACATCTGGGGTGTCACCTGCATGTTTAAGGGGTCAGGGGGCAGACCCCACACCTTCACTCGTCCCATCAGTGAAGTGAGTAGGTTCAGCCCTCCACAGAAATGCAGAACCTGACCAGCAGTGATGGAAATGGGTGCAGCACTGAGCAGATCTGCACTCTCTTCACACATCCTTGCTTTCACACTAGTGGGGCAGAGCTTCCTGGGCACCCTCCAGCATAGGGGGCTGGCCACGGTGACAGCCCACTGGCATACCAAGAGGACACAGTGCTGCCGCACAGGACTGCGGCAGGGAGGCACCCAGACAGAGCCAAAAGAGGAGCTCTTCAAGGAACAGAACTGGCATTGCCAAGTAATGTCGGATTAAAAGACAAAAAGTACACGATGTTTCTTTTTTTCCTTTCGAGACAGAGTCTCGCTCCGTCACCCAGACTGGAGGGCACTGTCGTGATCCTGGCTCACTGTAGCCTCCACCTCCCAGTCTCAAGCAATGTCCCACCTCAGCCACCAAATCGCTGTGAAAACAGGCGCACACCACTATGCCCAGATAATGTGTTTTTGTTGTTGCACAGACGGGGTTTTGCCGTGTTTCTCAGGCTGGTCTCAAATTTCTGGGCCCAAACAATCCACCTGTTTCAGTCTCCCAAAGTGCTGGGATTATAGGCATGAGCCACCGTGCCCAGCCATACACAGTATTTCTAAATTTCAAAGACAGGTGTCCTTTATAACACATTTAGAGTTCTGAACTCTAATAATTTTATCAGCAGATGACCTGATCTTTGAGTCACAAAACTGTTCTTTGTTAAACCAGCCGCCCTGAGAAAAACAAGGCAGCCTAACATGGAATTTCACCAGACGCCAACAGTCGAACTACACGAGTAAGCAGGAACTGTTTTAATTTCTTTCTTTTATTTTTGAGACGGAGTTTCGCTCTTGTTACCCAGGCTGGAGTGCAATGGCGCGATCTCTGCTCACCACAACCTCCGCCTCCTGGGTTCAGGCAATTCTCCTGCCTCAGCCTCCTGAGTAGCTGGGATTACGGGCACGCGCCACCGTGCCCAGCTAATTTTTTGTATTTTTAGTACAGACGGGGTTTCACCATGTTGACCAGGATGGTCTTGATCTCTTGACCTCGTGATCCACCCGCCTCGGCCTCCCAAAGTGCTGGGATTACAGGCTTGAGCCACCGCGCCCGGCGAGCTGTTTTGATTTCTTTGGGCTCAGAACAGATTGGCCTGGACTGAATTCACAGCTAATTATGGGCAGCAGAGGCCTCCACCACTCCCAACTTGTCCTGGGAGGAAGGGGAGCAGGGCGAGTTCTCTGGGAAGGCAGGGGCATCTAAACTAAAGACACGCCGGGCCTGGGAGAGGCCATGTGACACCCTCCCACCCTAACGCAGCCACTCCAGCGTGCCCAGAGCAGTGACCATCACACAGGCTACTTACTTGCGATTGTGCCAGCCCACCACACGACGTCTGTTAAATAGGAAGTACCTATAAGAGAATGAGATAAGAAAGAGTCAGGAAAGTGGATTTTTACAAGCTGTGTATGCCAGGAAGCGGTTTACAAGTGAGAAACTTTGATATGAACACTAAAATGGAAAGGAATGAACGTCACACTGTTTATTCACTGTAAAGAGGATCTTTCATCTAAAAATAGCAGCAGAAGAGACCACTGAAACTGGCAAAGTCAAGATATTTTTTGCAACCAACACAGGCTGACCCAAATAAGGAAATGAAATCTTTATACATTTGGGATTATAGGCGTGTGCTGGGATTACAGGTCTGAGCCACTGCCCCTTGCGTCCTAAGCTGTTTTTAGGAGATTTTTTTGTTGCTAACTGCAGATTACAGTAGTAACTAATGCTTTTCCCAATTTTTTTTTTTTTTTTTTTTTGAGACAGAGTTTCGCTCTTGTTACCCAGGCTGGAGTGCAATGCGTGATCTCAGCTCACCACAACCTCTGCCTCCTGGGTTCAGGGCAATTCTCCTGCCTCAGCCTCCTGAGTAGCTGGGATTACAGGCACGCGCCACCATGCCCAGATAATTTTTTGTATTTTTAGTAGAGATGGGGTTTCACCGTGTTGACCAGGATGGTCTCGATCTCTTGACCTCGTGATCCACCCGCCTCAGCCTCCCAAAGTGCTGGGATTACAGGCGTTAGCCACCGTGCCCGGTCAATTTTTTTTTTTTGAAATGGAGTCTCACTCTGTCGGCCGGGTTGGAGTGAGTGACGCCACCTCGGCTCACCACAACCTCTGCCTCCCGGATCAAGCGATTCTCCTGCTTCCGCCTCCCAAGTAGCTGCGATCACACGTGTGCACTACCACTTGCGGCTAATTTTTGTATTTGTAGTAGAGACGGGGTTTTGCTATATTGGCCAGGCCTGGCCTCAAGGGATCCGCCCACCTCGGCCTCCCAAAGTGCTGTGACTACACTGCAAGTCACGCCCAGTCATAGTGACAATTCTAATTGCTTTAATTCTCAGTAGTAAAACCACAATTTGGTATAAGACACACAGCCTGCTGGCCTGCTTAATGGAGCAGAAGAGCTACAGGTATCACAAAAAGTACTTACAAAGTGAAATGGGGCTGGGCCTGGTGGCTCATACCTGTAATTCCAGCATTTTGGGAGGCTGAGGTAGAGGATCACTTGTGCCTAGGAGTCTGGGCAACATATCGAGACTCTGTCTCCACAAAAAATTTAAAAATTAGTGGGCGCCAAGCCAGGTGGCTCACGCCTGTAATCCCAGCACTTTGGGAGGCTGAGGTGGGTGGATCACCTAAGGTCAGATGTTCAAGACCAGCCTGGCCAACATGGTAAAACCCCATCTCTACTAAAAATGCAAAAAGTAGCCGAGCGCAGTGGCAGGCGCCTGTAATCCAGTGTGGGAGACAAGAGCGAGACTTTGTCTCAAAAAAAAAAAAAAAAAAAAAAAAAATTAGACTTTGTCTCAAAAATAATAATATTGTTATTTGATCACTTGGAAATAAAAACTGATTTAGGCAAGAATCATCAATGGATACTAAAACAAGTGAATGAAAGCTTACTGAGAAACAAGATTGCTTCTCAGCCACCTCCATAGGTTTTTCTTATTATTAATTATGAACAGAAAAAGTTATCTTTACATAAAAGCCTGATGGACATTGGCTGAGCCCAGAGGTCAATGTCAGCAGCACCGTCTCTGCCACCTGCCTGCTGCACTGTCTCCAGGCCCTGAGCCTCTGCTGCCAGTCTCCACTGCAGAAGAGAGCCTGGCACTGCTGGGGCTCCTGTCCTGTGTCCCTCTCAGTGCCTCTGATACAATGGGACCCAGGGTATCCTATGAGGCAGAAAGTTTAGCTAGGTTTAAGGATGTCCCGTGGTAGGCACTGCAGAAGAGTCAGCAATGAATACAGAATCAACGTTACATTTCTAAATGTGCTAATCAAAGAGGGTATCCCAAAATGCATGCCGAATAATTAACAGTGAAAGGTCATCGGTTCCAGAATACTGGTGTGAAGTCTGTCAAACAATTTCCCAACAAGACCACCATAACTAACAAATAAAGTACTTTAAAAAGTGAATTTAGGCCGGGTGCGGTGGCTCAAGCCTGTAATCCCAACACTTTGGGAGGCCGAGGCGGGTGGATCACGAGGTCAACAGATCGAGACCATCCTGGTCAACATGGTGAAACCCCGTCTCTACTAAAAAAATTACAAAAAATTAGCTGGGCATGGTGGCGCGTGCCTGTAATCCCAGCTACTCGGGAGGCTGAGGCAGGAGAATTGCCTGAACCCAGGGGGCGGAGGTTGCAGTGAGCCGAGATTGCGCCATTGCACTCCAGCCTGGGTAACAAGAGCGAAACTCCGTCTCAAAAAAAAAAAAAAAAAAAAAAAAAGTGAATTTAAAGTCTGTGGAAATTATCCTAAGGGCATACAGAAAATATCCCTTTTCTTTTTTTTTTTTTTTTTTTTTTTGAAGGAGTTTCGTTGTTGTTACCCAGACTGGAGTACAATGGCACAATCTCGCGGCTCACTGCAACCTCTGCCTTCTGGGTTCAAGCAATTCTCCTGCCTCAGCCTCCCGAGTAGCTGGGACTACAGGTGTGCACCACCATGTCCAGCTAATTTTTGTATTTTTAGTAGAGATGGGTTTCACCTCATTGACCAGGATGGTCTCGATCCCTTGACCTCGTGATCCACCTGCTTCGGCCTCCCAAAGTGCTGGGATTACAGGCGTGAGCCACGGTGCCCGGCCAAATATCTCCCCTGTCATTCCGGATTTTAGTAATTTGATTCTTCTTTTTTGCTTGGTCAGTCTAGCTAAAGGTTTGTCAATTTCATTGTTCTTTTCAAAGAACCAACTTGTGATTTTGTTGATTTTATTTAATTTTTTTTAAGTTTTTTTCTTTGTATACTTGGCTTGTGTAGAATTTTTTTTTTTTTTTTTTGAGGCACAGTCTCACTCTGTCGCCCAGACTGAAATGCAGTGGCACGATCTCTCAGTTCACTGTAACCTCTACCTCCCAGGTTCAAGCGATTCATGTGCCTCAGCCTCCCAAGTAGCTCAGATTACAGGTGCTCACACAACACCTGAATAATTTTTGTATTTTTAGAAGAGACAGGGTTTCACCATGTTGGCCAGGCTGGTCTTGAACTCCTGACCTCAAGTGATCCACCCACCTCAACCTCCCAAATTGCTGGGATTACAGGCATGAACCACTGGCCCAGCTGTCCTTTTATTGTGATGGATGTGGTTTGGTCAGGAGTTTTTGTGAAGTCATGGGATTGCTGCTACAGCAGCTGGACTCTGAGTAACCCTCCTGCCGTGACAGCGGGTCCGAGGATGACAGTGACCAGTGCAATGAGGCCCATAGGCTCTCCCGTCTCACCGCTATGGTTCTCCCATCACAGAGTATATGCTTTGGGCAGTTTCTAAAATGTCAAAAGTCACAAAATGGGGAGGAACCTGGGATACCAGGTACGCAAGAATGGCAAAGTGAACAAAACAGCTTTTCTTCTTTTCCCAAAGGGTCCAGTTCAGTTCCAAGCATTTTAGGCCCCAAAACTTGCACTCTCCAGCAAGAGCTTGGATTCGCTCAAATCAAAAGGTGTTTAGGCCGGGCGCGGTGGCTCAAGCCTGTAATCCCAGCACTTTGGGAGGTCGAGACAGGTGGATCACGCGGTCAAGAGATCGAGACCATCCTGGTCAACATGGTGAAACCCCGTCTCTACTAAAGATATAAAAAATTAGCTGGGCGTGGTGGCACGTGCCTGTAATCCCAGCTACTCGGGAGGCTGAGGCAGGAGAATTGCCTGAACCCAGGAGGCGGAGGTTGCGGTGAGCTGAGATCGCGCCATTGCACTCCAGCCTGGGTAACAAGAGCGAAACTCCATCTCAAAAAAAAAAGGTCTTTAGGTCACCCTCACCTTTTAAGCCAATATTAGGTAAAATTTTTCTGCAGCCACAGACATTAAGCAAGTTGGATTTTTCTCCATCCAGGTACCTGCCCCATACCCTGAGCCACAAACAAAAGTGAAGGTCCTCCCCATGGTCCCTGAGAGCCTCGGTCCAGGAGTGTCCCCTCTGTTCTGCCCTGAAGGAAGTGCATGGGCTGTGTGCCCAGCGTCCTCAGTGAGCTGGCTGCTCCACTTTCCCTCCCCCTCCTTCAGCCAGGAGCTCCTAGGAACCCGCATTCCATGTTAGCCCTTGGCCCCTGTCATACATAGATATTTTTCTATTATATCCTAAAACAACTGGGTTTCTTTTTTCTTTTTTTTTTTGGTTTTAAAGTTTTTATTTTTTACAAGTAAACTGGAGAATCATGCAATGCTGCCAGCAGCGGATGCAATCTTGGGCCACAGGTCTGTACACTCCTTTGCTACTGGTCCTGTAATGGCAGAACCTTTCATCTCACCTTTATGGTTCACTATGACCCCGGCATTATCTTCAAAATAAAGAAACACGCCATCTGTTCTCCGGTATGACTTCCGCTGTGGAATGACCACTGCTGGATGTACTGTTTTTCTGAGCTCTGGTTTGTCTTTCCTTTTTTTTTGAGACGGAGTTTCGCTCTTGTTACCCAGGCTGGAGTGCAATGGCGCAATCTGGGCTCACTGCAACCTCCACCTCCTGGGTTCAGGCAATTCTCCTGCCTCAGCCTCCCGAGTAGCTGGGATTATAGGCACGCGCCACCATGCCCAGCTAACTTTTTGTATTTTTAGTAGAGACGGGGTTTCACCATGTTGACCAGGATGGTCTCGATCTCTTGACCTCGTGATCCACCCGCCTCGGCCTCCCAAAGTGCTGGGATTACAGGCGTGAGCCACCGCGCCCGGCCCTGGTTTGCCCTTCTTGACTGTGGCCATCACCATGTCACCGACACCAGCAGCGGGAAGTCTGTTCAGCCGTCCCTTGATCCCCTTCACAGAGATGATATACAGGTTTTTGGCTCCTGTGTTGTCAGCACAGTTGATCACAGCTCCTACTGGAAGACCGAAGGAAATCCAGAA